CTGCCTATTTGGCTTCAGTCATTCATTCACCCAATATGCATGGACAGTCTACTATGTGACATGTGCTATTTCAGAGACTAAGGATGCATTCCTGAACAAAAACACTGAAATCCCTGTTCTTAGAGTGAGCCTCCACTTGAGTGGAAAGGAATAATGAATAGGGTATTAAACAGGATGCTACCAGGTGATACAGACTACGGGAAAAATAAAGCAAAGTGGGCAGACGGTACAAAGAGAGATTGTAGTGTTAAATAGGGCGGTCAGGATGGCCTCATATAGGCGTCCTCAAACTATGGCCCGCATGCAGGCCACCTAGGACATTTATCCGGCCTGCTGGGTGTTTTTGCCGCCGTTGCCTGTCCTGCTTAGCAGCCGACTCATCCCGGGGCCCACAGTCTGGCCCTCCAACGGTCTGAGGGACAATGAACTGGCCCCCTGTTTAAAAAGTTTGAGGACCCCCTGAACATTAGGAGGAAAAAAGAGAAGGAATAAAATGCAGGGAGAAAAATATATATTAAAAACCCTTTGATGGCTCCTCTTTGAAAATAAATTCCTGGCTTTAAACATGGCCTCAGGTTGTTGGTGGCCTGGCTCCTGCTTTCTCCTGCTTTAGCAGCACAGAGTCCACTGATCACAACCCTCTACACCAGTGGTTCTCAATCTTCCTAGTGCTGCAACCCTATAATACAGTTCCTCATGTTGTGGTGACCCCCAACCATAAAATTATTTTCGCTGCTAGCAAAATACACAATATACAATGCTACTCGTAGCATAAACATAAAATAACAGAGATAACAGGTAGGAGGGCCTGGGAGGCTAGCTGAATGGAGCTACATGAGAAACATGCAAAAGTCCTAGCCATATGGGTGGCACCTGTGGCTCAAAGGAGTGGGGCATCAGCCCTATATAGTGGAGGTGGCAGGTTCAAGCCCAGCCCCAGCCAAAAACTGCAAAAAAAAAAAAAAAAGTTCTGGGCATAAAGCATTTGACTCCCCCTCTTTAAGTCACTTATAGCTGCAGGTGAGCAGCCTGTGAAGGTCATTCATCCATTCCACTCCTCACTGTCCAGATGGGGGAACTGGGACCCAGAAAGGGATGGAGGTATCTTTGGGGCCACACAGCCTTGTCTGCACAGAAAGGCCTGATATCCTGCGGGTATTACATGCTGAGCATGTGGTTTTTATGTAATACTTCAAGTTCCTCTATTAAACCTCAGAAGGAGAAAACACTGGTTGGATTTCCCCTCCACCAACTGACTACAAGCAGAGCGTTCAGGTTAAAGGGCCCCTCAGTAGTCTCTGTGACACTAAAGGCAGCACCATCTTTCTTGACTAGGGATTCTGTCCCAGGGCCTCTAGGTGTGTACTGGAAAGTTAATAACAGACTCTCTGTTGTTCCTTGAGAGGAGGGAAGTCCACAGGCTGTTGAAATATAGAATCTGGAAAGAATTTCTTGCCATAGACCAAGGCTTGGGTGACTGTGTTCTGAGCTAGGATCCTGTACTCTGCATCAAGGTCTCTGCCAAGGGGCTGGAGGAGGGGAGTCTCTCTGGTGGCTCAGAAAGCACCAGAGGCTCTGTCTTAGGAGGCACTTCAGGACTTTAGGGCTGAGTGTTGTAACCACATCACCCATGAGGAAGTTAGAACTAAGCATGAAGGTCATAAAATTGTGACAAAGCCAACCAAAACAGTCAAATGAATAAGGCTGTTTTACAGGGGAGCTTATATGAAGGTAAAATCTTCTTACTCTTACTTTCCAGGCAAGACCCAGAGAGGCGAAATAGCACATCCAAATATTTTGACCTGGTTAATCTGAAATTAAGAAAATAAAGAAGAAAAGAAAAAGCATACCCAAATCCCCAAATCCCTCCCCAGCTCTTGGGTTCCAGATGCTTCAAGCACACACTTTGTCCTTCTCCTGCTACTTCCCAACCACCTGGCACATCCAGAACAGCAGCCCTCCCTCTCAACTTTGACCTGCCTTGGTGGCCCTGGCTTCATTCTCTCCTTAAGCTCCGCCCCCATCTTTGACTGCTCCCTAACTCCCATTAGTTTTTAGATTGAGGCTTTTAGAAGTTGTGTGACCTTGAGGAATTGGCTTGACGTTTTTGATGGATGTAGTAAGCTCAGTAGGTGCTGTGCAAAGAAGGAATTCTTCTAGATCGAGATTAGGATATGAAAGTGTAAGTTTATTTTTTATTTTAGAATGCGGGGGAGTGGGGAAAGGGAGAGAGTAAAGAGAAAGGAGATGGCTGGCACCCACAAAGGAAGAAAGGAAAAATGCCAGCCCTCAGGTCCCGTGGGTAGCTGAATTTAAGGGGGAAAGGGAAAATAACTGTAGCCAAGTTCACACGGTATTGTAACTGTGAATGCTGTGTCTGTTTTGCCTACAGCGAAGTTGAAGACAGGTATTTTTCCAGGTGTTTCCAATCTTTAGGCCTAACTGTTCACATTCCATTGGTCATTGGGGACTCCAATGTGTCATTGGGGACTCCAAGGTGTGGGGAAAATTCTAAAAGGCAAAGGAGTTGGAGAAATGATAAAGAACTTACATTTCCTTTTGATCTGCTGGGCTCTTCAGTGGCTTGTGAAACCAGAAATCCATAGGAATGAGGGAGGCAGTTGTGAGCAAGAGAAAAAAAGCACACAGAAAGAAAGTCCTTATCAAAACCACTTTGAGATATCATCTAACTCCAGTAAGAGTAGCTCACATCACAAAATCCCCAAACTACAGATGTTAGCGTGGATGTGGAGAAAAGGGAACACTTCTGCACTGCTGGTGGGAATGTAAGCTGATATGTTTCTTTTGGAAAGAAGTTTGGAGAACACTTCGGGATCTAAAAGTAGACCTGCCATTTGATCCTGTAATTCCTCTACTAGGTATATATTCAGAAGACCAAAAATCACTTTACAAGAAAAATATCTGCACAACAATGTTTATTTCAGCCCAATTCATAATTACTAAGTCATGGAAGAAGCCCAAGTGCCCACAGAACCATGAATAGATTAATAAATTGTGGTATTTGTACACCATGGAATATTATGCAGCCTTAAAAAAGATGGAGACTTTACCTCTTTTATGTTTACATATATGGAGCTGGAAAATATTCTTCTTAGCAAAGTATCTCAAGAATGGAAGAAAAAGCATCCATTGTACTCAGTACTATTATGAAACCAATATAATCACCCACTCTTCCATATGAAAGATAAAACATAACTATAGCCCAGGATGAAGGAGGGAAGAAGAGGGAAGAGAAGGGCAGGGGGAGGTTGGATGGAGGAAGGCTAATCAGTGGGAGTGCCAGGGCACTCTACCCAGGGTGACAGCTTGAGGCTCTGTCTCAAGAAAAAAAAAAGAAAGAAAGATGACAATGGCTATGATTTATTGAGCGAGTTCCCACTGCCAGGTTTTTGTTTATTTGTTTGTTTTTAAGACAGAGCCTCAAGCTATTGCCCTGGGGAGAGTGCTGTGACATTACAGCTCATAGCAACCTCCAACTCCTGGGCTCAAGCGATTCTCTTGCCTCCACCTCCCAAGTAGCTGGGACCACAGGCACCCACCACAACGCCCAGCTATTTTTTGGTTGCAGCCATCACCGTTGTTTGGTGGGCTGGGCTGGATTTGAACCCGCCAGCTCAGGTGTATGTGGCTGGCACTCTAGCTGCTTGAGCCACAGGTGCCGAGCCCCATTGCCAGATTTTAAGCTGAGAATTTAACACATACATTTTCATTCTTTTTTTTTTTTTTAAAGACAGAGTCTCACTTTATCACCTTCGGTAGAATGCCATAGTGTCACAGCTCACAGCAACCTCCAGCTCTTGGGCTTAGGCAATTCTCTTGCCTCAGCCCCTGGAGTAGCTGGGACTACAGGCGCCCATCACGTCGCCCGGCTATTTTTTTTGTTGCAGTTTGGCCAGGGCTGGGTTCAAACTCACCACCCTCGGTATATGGGACCGGAGCTCTACCCACTGAGCCACAGGCATCACCTAACATCTATATTTTCATTGACACCTTTCAATACTCTTGTGAGGTAGGTTCTATTATTCTTTTCTTTTCTTTTCTTTTTTGGCGCCAGGGCCAGTTTTGAACCCATCACCTCCGGTATATGGGGCCAGCACCCTACTCCTTGAGCCACAGGCGCTGCCCTCTATTATTATTTTCATTTTACTGACCAGGAAACCCAGGCTCAGAAAAATAAAGCTATCTGCCTAAGGTCCCAAAGCCAAGGGCTCTGAATTTGAACTGAGGTCGGCTCTGCCTCAACATCTCCTACCACTGTCACTATAGGGTTTCTCCCAGGAGCCCCTTTACTCATGGGATGGCTGACAAAGGATTACTAAATACTTAAAGGATCAAATACTGTCAAAAGTCCCTCTCCCTCCCAAATTCTTCCTGACCAAAAATTGGATCAATGAAAGAAATTGGCAATACACGAAAATGGAAATACCAAGAAACGTTTACTACCCTCGCAATCAAAGAAAAACAAATTAACATTACAACAGTGCTGGAACATTGCCCATTGGAAAAAGATTTTCTAAAAAGAAAAAAAAAGTGTAATTCTTCTAATGACGACATTAAAAGTCTGGGACATATCTGATTTAATTTCCTCCAAATTTGTTGCTATGATGTCCATAGGATGGACTTTCCGATTTTCAACTCAACCTGTGTGAAGCTAAGAGTGGTTTATTATAAGGAGCAATAAACTTTGCTGTAACTGTCAAGTTCAGAGTGGTTTATTACAAGGAGCAATAAACTTTGCTGTAACTGCCAAGACGTAGTCAAGAGCAAAACCAGGAAAGGACAAGACGGACGCAGCAGGCGTCCCCTTTTGCTTGCCACGCGGGAGACGCAGACTGCGGCCCGTGGGTCCCGGCCCCGTGCGCGCCCGAGCCGCCGGGGTGGGGCGCGCGTGGGGACCACAACTCCCAGGCGCCCGCGCGCCGCCTCGCCCGGCCCATGTGATCCGCGCGGCCCGAGTCGCGATCACGGCGAAGGCGGGACGCACTCGGCAACCGGAGACCCGAGCGGGCAGAGGCGTCCCTGCTCTCGCCCCGCGTACTCACCATGGAGGTAAATCCTGGGCGCCCTGGGGAGGACGGGACGGGAGTGGGCGGCAAGGGCGGGGTCCTCTAGGGCAGCCACTCCGGGCACCCGACAGCCTCGACGCCGCTGGCCCGGGGCTGGTGAGGGGGTTTGTGGCTAAACTGTCAACAGCTGGAACACGGTTACGGGGCGGCGCAGGTAGAGCTTAAAGCGGTTTTCTTTTTGTTTGTCCCTGAGCACCTGCCGTGGCGCGGCTTGAAGGCGGGGGTGCGGTGGGTGAAGACGGTAGAGTCGCGAGTCGCCAGCCCTGATCTCCCGCGGGTGCCCGGGGGTGGGAGGGTAGGAACTTGGGAGAGATTCCAGGAAGGCTTCCACGAAGAGCAAAGCCCGGTGCAGGTCAGCCTGCACTGGGCGAGCACAGGCTGAGCGCACACCCCTCGCCCTGGCCCTGCCGGTGGCAGGTTCCTACTCGGAATCTTTGGGGAATAAAACACACTCAGCTGTTTCCATCCTCCCTACATTTTGGGTTAGAAAACAGCTTTTGGCCATCTGTTTTTCTTGGTAAGGTTCACCTGGGCTGGAGGGAATCACAGCTTGCAAGTCCTTTCATCTCTAAAGAAGTCATACTGTTTTCTTCATCCAGTTGAAGAATGTCATAGAATTTAAGATACAGGAAGCGTAGAAAGGCCACTCAGTAAGATGCCCACGCCCAGCTCTTGCCAGTCCTCTAAAAGGGGAAATAGATGGGAAGCCTTGAATTAGTTCCCCAGCTGGTCAGCCAGCACTGGGACCTTACCCTCCACCTGAATTCTTTGGTTTATAAATGAGGGCACTTTTCTCAAAGTATCAGTAACCCTAAATGAGAAGATAAAGAAGAAAATGATATCCCGGGATTGCTCCCTCCTTCCCCGTGCTCCTCCCCACCCTGAATTAAACACAGATAAATTAAGCTGCCAGAGGCGAGATTAACTCATGGTGGGAAAACAAGATTGGGGCCTGCCCCTAGAATATATAACCACAAAGCTCTTTAATTGAAAACTGCAGCCTGCAGTCACTTGCTTCAAAGTCAGTGTGTGCTGATTTGAATCTTTTCACCTAGTAAAAAGGCCAGACTTGAGTCTTTGTCCCTCCAGGGCGATGGACTCCCTGGGAGGTGGAACCATTTGGTCTCTGTGGGCTCTTTCAGCTCTGAGCATACTGTTCAGTTCCTCTTCCCTGGCTGCTTCCTGCTCCTCTGGCTTCAGAACTGTTCTAGCCATCTGCCCCCTGGCCAGGTCAAGTGTCTAAGATATCTGGACCCTACAACCCCCAGGAGACCTGTACTGTGCCTTTCTCTTTCTGATGTACACCTGCTGTAATTACCTGTTCACGTCTTTGTCTCCCTTTATAGAAGGTAGCTCCTGTAGCACCAAGGACTTTTATTGGTCTCTGTATCTCCAGGGTCTGTACATTCCTAGCACAGAAAAGGAAGTCTTGGTTTAATTAATTTCACTGTTCTCTGTATGTTCAGGTCTATGGCAAAAGGTGTCTGGGCTGTTTGGGGTCCCTGACATAGCTGGCCCAGGCTCAATGACAGTAGAAAGAAACCAGTTACAGACTCCTTTACTGATTAATTAGCCAGTGGGGACATTCCATTCATGCCATCCATTTACCAAGTAGACTCACCTGGCAGAGGTGGTGCCAGTGTTGGCAGAATTTCTGCAGTAGGTCCTTGGTCTCAGAGATTCAAAGAATGAACCCACAGACCACAGATAAGGGGTAAGATAGAATTTCTTAGACACAAAAGAATATTGAAGGAATAAGAAGCACCAGAGCTTCTGGCAGAGGGAAAGACCCAAGTGGGAAGTCTTTTACTGGGTCTTTTTTCTAGAGGCTATATGTTGTTTTGTAAAAAAGGGAGGTCTTGAGACACGAGTATAAGAGGGACTTGACCTAACAATTGCAATCAGTATAACCTGGTTTCTTGTACCCTCAGTGAATCCCCAACAATAAAACAAACAAACAAAAAAAGGGAGGTCTTGAGAATTACCTTTAGCCAGGACTTGGCAGACTTCAACATTAATGACTGTATTAACAAATGAATGCAGCCCTGGCTCAGCAGCTAAGGCGCCAGCCACATACACAGGAGCTGGCAGGTTCAAACCCAGCCCAGGCCTTCTAAACAGCAATGACAACTAAAACCAAAAAATAGCCAGGTGTTGTGGCGGGTGCCTGTAGTCCCAGCTATTTGGGAGGCTGAGGCAAGAGAATCGCTTAAGCCCAAAAGTTTAAGGTTGCTATGAGCTGTGACGGTACAGAACTCTACAGAGGGTGACATAGAAAAAAAAAACCAAATGAATGCTGTCCCTCCATCTCAGGCAGAATAGCCAGTGGCCTCTTCAGGAGAGTCCAGCTTACATGAAATTGCTCAGGCCTAGGAAAATGGGGTCCCTGTTCAACCTTGAATGGGGGAACCCTGTATCACCAGAAGCTTTTGTGGAAGATGAGTGCAACTCCAGCATAAATGAAGTTTTTCACAGGATTGTTTCCATCTCTTTGTTTTTGTATATCATTCTTTTGTGAACATTTTGCCATATCAACAAATATTCTTCTTGGAATCCTAACAGAAGATGTCTCTGGACTCAGTGATTTTTTTTTTTTTAACTTTCTTTTTGGTATTGTTCTAGCTTTTTGTATTGACTAAGTACCACATTCATATCAGGCAGATAAAAAAGCCACTTTTATTTTTTAATTTTTCAACATGATTTTTATTTCTTTATTTATTTTTGAGACAGAGTCTCACTTTGTCACCCTCAATAGAGTGCTATGACATCTTAGCTCACAGCAACCTCAAACTCATGAGCTTAAGCGATTCTCTTGCCTCAGCCTCCCAAGTAGCTGGGACTACCAGTGTCTGCCACAATGCCCAGCTGTATTTTAGAGCTCTTGCTCAGGCTGGTCTTGAATCTGTGAGCTGAGGCAATCCACCTGCCTCAGCCTTCCAAGTGCTGGGATTAAAGGTGTGAGACACTGCGCCTGGCTCAACATGATTTTTAAGTGCCTACATTTCCATTTTGAGGCTCTAACATAATTTACTTGACCTGTCCTGGCTGGTTGTCAGGAAAACATCATGATTTAGATGATTCCTCAAAGTGTGGCCTCCTAGACATCTGCTTTAGCCCTTCCCAGAGTGCTCAATGTGCATAATGAGATTTGAGAACCAGCACAGGCTTTCCAAAAAGATCTCTAGCTCTGGATAGCTCATCACTGAGTGACCTTGGACAATACATGGGCCTTTCTTCACCTCCTTTGTTAATTTAAAGGGGTTAATAATAGTGGGCACCTGCAGTGATGTCCTGGGGAGTGATGCAGATAAAGGTAGAAGGTGAACATGGCGCAGGCACACGCAGGCCCTCAGAAGACGCAGTAGCTGGGTGGTTCTTCTCTGCAATCAATGGTTTCACATTTCTTTCTCTGTCCTGCAGATCCAGGGTCTTCAGTGAACTTGGTCAGCACGGGCCAGGGGTGGTGATATGAGTCAGATCCCTTTGAAAACTGAAAGGCATGTTCGCTGAATGCAGGGAGGAAAACAGCCAGGTTATTTCCAGGTCTCTGCCAAACCCAAAGCTGCTATGTCCAAGTCTAAACTCAGGAATCAAGGAGATACATAGATGAGATCCCCCTCCCAACTCAGAAACACAGGCACACTCATTTCTTTTCTTTCTTTGAGACAGGGTCTAACTCTGTCACCCAGGCTGGAGTGCAGTGGCCTCAGCCTAGCTCACTGCAGCCTCAAACTCCTGGGTTTAAGCAGTCCTGTCTCAGCCTCCCAAGTAGCTGAGACTACAAGTGCCTGCCACTATACCCAGCTAATTTCTTCTATCTTTTGTAGAGATAGAGTCTCTCTCTTGTTCAGGCTTCTCAAACTCCTGGCCTCAGCCTCTGAAAATGCTATAATTACAGGTGTGAGCCCACCACACCTGGCCTCAATTTTTTTTTTCTTTTATGGAATTTCAGGGTAGGAGTAAAGCTCAAGCTAGAAGCCTATGTGTACCATGTCAACAGGGAACATGAGGCTAAACCAAGTGAAAAAGTTCCTAGAGTCCTGACCCCATTTTACAGATGAGGAGACTGAGGTCCACAGGGGGCTTTATGTATATTGGCAGCTCAGGGTCATACAGCTGGTTCCTGGCAGAGCTAGGAGGCAGATCTAGCCAGTGCGGCTTCAGAAACTGTATACTGACCACAGGCTTTACTGCCTCTGTAACAAACTGAACTGAGCCTCTGAACCTCCTGAAGGGGCTGCTTAAAATCTTGTGTCATCCCTCCTATGGCTCTGCCCCTCGCTGTTGATTTAGGGGTCTGAGGAGGCCCAGGAATCTGCAGTTTTAATAAGGCCCTGGAGTCCAAGGAGACCTGCTATCCTTCACTGAGCTACTGGCTGTTGTGAAGCTCCTGACTGGCCCATGGTCTGCTAGTGCTTCACCTGGAACTGACTTATTTGTGGATCCAGCTCTAACAACATCGCTCCTCTGCACCTAGGATCCACTCCAGTGTCTCTCCCTCCCACCCTTTACTCTCTCTGCCTTTTCTTATCCTATTGTCTAGCTCTCATCCCCTGGGCTCTGGCCTTACTCTCCAGTCCCCAGACAAGTCCTTATTTGCTTTCTTTATTTTTGTAATGTAAACTCATTGTCTTTCTCAGGAAATACTGACCAGCTGCCTGTTGGCCGTCCATGGGAGGAGCCAAGCATGGCCATCCTAATTGTACAGAGGCCCTTTCTCATACACACCTTCCTCCTCTTCTTCTTCCCTTCTTTTGTCCCCAAAGTGGCCATATCGCCTTTTTCTTTTTGAAATGTTAAAACTAACAACTGTTAGACAGTTCACCTTTCATCTCAGTCTAGTGTTATACCTGACAGTGGGCTCACTTCCAGGGACACCCACGTGGCTCAGCTTAGCATCTTAATTTTCCTCTTGTCAATGAGGGTCTGGCAAGGAGACCCCAGTTCTAGTCCTGATTCTGCCATCAACTCATTGTGACCTTAGGCATGTCACAGCTGCCTCTTGGACTGAAGCCCCCTGCATAGGCAAAATCCCAGCTGCACAACTAGGCAAGTAACTGAAACTCTCTTTGCCTTAGTATTCTCGTCTATACAATGGTGCCTGTAGCGCAGTGGTTACGGTGCCAGCCACATACACCGAGGCTGGCAGGTTCGACTCCAGCCTGGGTCAACTAAACAACGATAACTGCAACAAAAAAATAGCTGGGCATTGTGGCAGGCACCTGTAGTCCCAGCTGCCTGGGAGGCTGAGGCAAGAGAATTGCTTGAGCCCAGGATTTTGAGGTTGCTGTGAGCTGTGATGCCACAGCACTCTACCAAGAGCAACGTAGTAAGACTCTGCCTCAACAATAACAACAAATAGACCTAAGAAGAGTAATTCCCCTTATAATAAAAGCCTGTAACACTTTTAGAATAATGGCTAGCACAAAATCCTCAGTAAGTGTTATTTCCCTGTCAAGTATGAGAAAAGAAGTTTGCTCTAGATTAGCACTTCCCAAAGTGTCTTCTGTAAGGTGCTCTGCCACTGGGTGCTCAGCAGGAAAAAGACAGGGAGGGAGTTCTAGGTTCAGCCTTCTGGCCGCAGCAGAGAGAGCTGTTATACCCTATTTTTTTCCCAAACTAGACCACAGAATGCACTTTTCAGTGCACCTCTTATCCTGTGGTTCTTGCATGGAATGCTGCTGAGAGCAACCCTCCAGCCTTGATGAGTTTGGGAAGAAGACGCCTGGGTTTGGAGCCCTCACTGTGTGTCACCTTGTGTGGGTGCCTTTGCAGTGTTTTCTTTCCCCTTCCCTGAGAGGCCCTGATTTCATTGGAAATCCTAGACTCAATCACTAGTCCTTATTTTCTTTTTGGAAAAGTATAAACGATGGTACCCAAGGAGGAGGCCACAGAGATGTTCAGGCCAGGTTTATTGAAAGGGGAGGGCAACCTGCCAGGGCAGTACAAGGATAGTGTCTGCCCCCAGGGAGCAGTTAGAGACCCCTTTTATATAGAGTCATAGGGGGTAGGAAAATTCCACAGCTTGCCTGGAAGGTTAGGGTCCTTTGGTGGTAACTTGTGTGTGTGGGGGGGGAGCTAGCCAGATCCTTTGTGTATTTGAGAGAAAGAGGGGGAGGGGAAAGGATTTGTGTGTGTGTCTGTGTTAGACCCCTACTCAACCCCCCAAAAGATCTTCGATCCTAAGTTTTGAGGTGGGAGGGGTGAAGGCTAGAACACGTATGGCTAGTGGTTTAAGGTTGTCATCTGCAAACAGAAGCTTCGTTTCCAGGAGGCCATGGAACACCCACATGGCACAGCTTCCAACAAAACGGCAGCTAATCCAACCTGCCTGTCCATCTACTGTGCCTGTGAGTGTTTGTCTCAGCCTGAACTCTCTTCAAGGACTGATGGCCCCACAGCCTTGACAGGAATCCAGAGTCTCTCTCGAGATCCTCTACCCTTGAACACACAAGGAGAGTAATCAGGCCTCTTGTGAAGTCTTGGGTAAATCCCCTCTCTTGAGACTCACTGCGCATCTGGAAATGAGAGTGGGTGGAGAGGGATGGAAGTTGATCAGATCAGTTTTCAAACTGGGTTTTAGCAGAATTCAGACCTCTCTTCCCATTTTGCCTAAAGCCCTGTGTTTTATGTAATGGAATTGCAAGATTTTAATTGGCCACTGTTACCTGACAAAAAAATGCTGAAAGCCAGGGTACTTAAAATTCTGAGGTGACTTCTAGCTCTGACATTTCAGAATTCTAATATGTGGCCATTGTGGTAGAAGGCAAAGGCTTCTGATGCCCCTCAGCCAGGATCTTCTTAGCTGGGTGAGCACTGAGGGTGCATGCAGAATTGCTTGTGCTGGCTGGGGAGGGTTTACCTGGTGGCTAGAGAGACCTTCCCTTTCTTGAGAGGGTGAACTAATTGATTGATCGGTCAGGACTGCATCTTGCCAGACACAGTCTTTAAGCCAGGTGTGGCACTTAAGATCACTGTCTAGTGGGCGGTGCCTGTGGGTCAGTGAGTAGGGCGCCTGCTCCATATACTGAGGGTGATGGTTTCAAACACAGCCCCAGCCAAACTGCAACAAAAACATAGACAGGCGTTGTGGTGGGCACCTATAGTGTAGTCCTAGGTACTTAGGAGGCTGAGGCAAGAGAATCGCCTAAGCTCAAGAGCTGGAGGTTGCTGTGAACTGTGACACCACTGCACTCTATAGAGGGCCACAAGGTGAGAAAAAAAAAAAAAGATCACTGTCCAGTCCCCCTCCCATCCTCGTTTCTTGGGGATTGGAAGGCAGCACAGTGTCCTAGAATGTGCAGGGCTTTGGAACCCAGCTACACTCAGGTCTGAATCCCAGCTCTGCCAGCTTACTAGATTTGTGACCTTTAGCAAATTACTTAATTTCCCTGAGGCTAGTTTCCCCCCAGTTTTCCTTCCGATAAAGTGGGCCTAACTGTCCCTGTCACACAGAGAACTGTTGTGTCACTGAAATAACATATAATAAGCCCTTGATGGCACCCTGAACATGGTAGAGCAGGCACTCTTGGAGAAAGGCGTTACATGGGCCCTGCATGGCCATTGCTTCTACCTGAAGTCTTTCCTGTAAGTCCATGAATTCATCAAGGGTGAGGACATAAGCCTTTCTCCACAACACTGGATCCAGAACTGGGCTCAGCAAATGTTTAATGAGTAGAGTGATGTGGAATGCAGATTGAAGATGCTGTCCCTGATAAACACCCTCCAGATAAACATCATGGGAACTGCTTGGATTTTCAAGGACAAAGAGAGCTCCAGGCTCTTATCACACTGCTCTCTTTCGGGGAGACTATCTCAGAGCTGTTCTCATTCTCATGGTTAGTGGTTGATGCTGGTTGTTGGAACAGAGTGATTGGGGCCCTGGGGTAAGAAGCATGGAGGGCACAGTGGGGACATCATGTGTAGTCAGGACACTGTCACATGCCAAGACTGTGGCTGGCCTAGTGACAATGAGGATGGGCACTCACCTACCTTCACTTCCAAATGGAGCAGGGCCAGCTCAGTTATAGCTCTGCTGCTGACATACTTGGGCAAGTCCCTGCTCCATATAGTCTTAGTTCACCCTGATCACCTTTGCTGCCCCTTCCAGCACTGATGTGCAGTGACCTCAGTTTTCTGGGATTCCAGAGGAAGTTGCGGGAGACCATTAGTGACCATGACTTCCATGGCCTGAAGCCCCTGGTGATGTAGGTTTCCTTCTCTTTCAGATGCATTTCATCTTCTCAGACAAGGTGGTGCTTCTGTTTGATTTCTGGAGTGTCCACAGTCCTGCAGGTAGGAACTGGGAAGCTCCAACTTGCAGCGTGGAAAGCCTCGTAGCACCAGGCAATGGAGAACCTGGGTTCTCTTTATTTCCATGGGCACTATGTGAACCTGACTCTCCTGGCTTAAACCCTGAGCAGGAACTTTTCATTCATATTTCCACTTGCAACCACTACCCTTCGGATTGCAAAGGGCTCCTTTATCTCACTGATCCTCACAAAGGCTGAGAGAGAGAGAGAGAGAGAGGACAGGAAGGCAGGTTTTCTCCCTATTACTGGAGAAAGAAGCCCAGCAAGGGAAGAAACTTGTGCAAGGTCACACAGTAAACATTGGAAATAGAACTTGATCTCCTGGTGCCACCTGGCACTCCCCAATCCAGAGTTCTGTACTAGCTCAGAAACCTACTGCAGCTGCTACAGATGAGACACCAGTTTGAAAGGGAAGAGTATTCATTTGACTTAACAAGGCAGTGTTTGGCATTAATACGTGATGGAATTTTTTTTTTTTCTTGACTTAAATAACTGCATCTTAAAAATAGACTGTAAATAGCCCAAATGCCCATTATTGCAGGTGGGGTTGTTCCTACAGTGGGTTATCATTTCTGGTTATCCACTGCTGACTAAATAGTGACTTAAAACAATAGTCACTTTATCATTCTCTAAAGGTTCTGGGAGGTGCCTGGGTTCAGCTAAGGGATCGTCATTCAAGGTCTCTCATACAGGTATAGTTAGATGGTGGCTGGAACTAGAATCATCTTGACAAGTTCTCACTCTCATGCTTAGTGGTTGATGCTGGTTGTTAGCTAGGACTTCAACTGGGGTTGCTGGCTGAACACCTAGGTGTGGTGTCTCCTCTGCCTGGCGTTCCTCGTGGCAGAGTGGCTAGATTCCAAGAGTGAGTATCTCAACAGAGTAAGGCAGAAGTGCATGAGATTTTCAAGACCTAACCTTGGAAACATTCCTTCTACCTTTATTGGTTAAAGTCACACAGGTCTTCCTAGGCTAAAGGAGAGGGGTCATGGACCCTACGACTTGAAGGCAGGAGTGAGCCTATGGGGGTGGGGTATGTTGGGGTGTCTATCTTTGGAAAACAGAATATAATCTCTCAGTACTGTGAAACCTCTGGGGGAAGTGAGGTAGATCTTTGTGAGCTACGGAGAACAGATGATGAAGACAGATGCAGAAGAATATGCACAGATAATTTAGACAGAGGCCTGAGTGGTGCCTGTGGCTCAGTGAGTAGGGTGCCGGCCTCATATACTGATGGTGGCAGGTTCAAACCCAGCCCTGGCCAAACTGCAACAAAAAATAGCCAGGTGTTGTGGCCTTTGTCAGCCTGTAGTCCCAGCTACTCAGGAGACTAAGGCAATTGCCTAAGCCCAAGAGGTGGAGGTTGCTGTGAGCTGTGACGCCACAGCACTCTACTGAGGGGGACAGAGTGAGACTCTGTCTCTAAAAAAAAAACCAGACAGGCTGGGCACCTGTGGCTCAAGTGGCTAAGGCGCCAGCCACATACACTTAAGGTGGTGGGTTTAAATCTAGCCTGGGCTCACCAAAACAACAATGATGGCTGCAACCAAAAAATAGCCGGACATTGTGGCAGGTGCCTATGGTCCCAGCTACTTGGGAGGCTGAGACAGGAGACTCGCTTTGAGTCCAGGAGTTGGAGGTTGCTGTGAGCTGTGATGCCACAGCACTTTACCCAGGGGGATAGCTTGAGGCTCTGTCTCAAAAATAAATAAATAAATAAATAAATAAATAAATAAAAATTTAAAAAAAAACAGACGGAGGCCTACATGTATATTGAGTTAACAGAGGTTGACTGGGGAGGAGAACTGGGGTCTTAGGTGGGAAAACCACTTTTTGTTGTATACCCTTTTGTACTATTTAAATTTTTACCATGTGTATGCCATTACCTGTAATTTTATATTATAAAAACCTGCACCTTTTGCAGATGATTTCCTCTTGGGAGCCTGTGAAGGAAAACCAGCAACTTACTGTTTTTCCTTCTCTTATGCTCAGCACACTTCTATGATCAGATATGTAGGTTTCCTCCCACACTAACCAATTCTCTGATGCCAGCTGGGTGTCCTGCAGTTCAGTTCAAATCTGACACTAACTGGAGTTGGTCTGCCTCAAGACTGCGCTCACTTCAGATGCCAATAGCAAGTCCCAGGTTGTCTCTGACCAACCAGGCATAATAAATCAGGATTCCCATAACCCCCTCCTTGGGGCTGATTATTTGCTAGAATGACTCACAAAATTCAGGGAAACACTTTACTCATGTGTTATATACATGAGCAGCCAGGTGGAAGAGATGCCTAGGGCAGGGCATGTGGGAAGGGCATGGAACTTCCTTGCCCTGTCTGGGCTTGCCGCCCTCTAAGTACGTTGGTGTTTTCAGCAATCTGCAGGCTCTCTGGGTTTTTATGGAGGCTTTGTACACTGGTGTGATTGATTACATCGTTGGCCACTCATCAACTCAAACTTCAGTCCCTCCTACCTCCCAAAAGTTGGAGGTAGGGCTGAAAGTTCCAACACAGTAAGCACGAGGTTGGTTCCCCTGGCAACTAGCCCCCAAGGAAGGCCCAAAGGCCAGTCATCTTATTAGCATACAAAGACATTGCTTCAGGGTTGCCACAGGTACTAGGAGCTAAGTGCTAGGAAAGCAGGGCAGAGCCCAATAAAATAGATTATTTAGCTCAGTGGTTCTCAAACTTCCTAATGCCTCCTAATGCCACAACCCTTTAATACAGTTCCTCATGTTGTGACCCCCAACCATAAAATTATTTTCGTTGCTACTTCATAACTGTAATTTTGCTACTGTTATGAATCGTAATGTAAATATCTGATATGCAGGATGTATTTTCATTGTTATGAAGGGTTCATGACCCACAGATTGAGAACCACTGGTTTAGCTGGACTACTGGCACTCTATTTGTGAACTAGCAGGTGGCAGTTAATTTTACATAGCAGCTTGAGTAAGCACTTAATGTTTTCTGTAAAAATAACTGGGGTTTTTCCCTATGATAAAAGTAATACATATGAAAGAAACTTTAGAAAACTAGGCAAGAAGATAATAAAACCAGCTGTACCTTACTTTGCTGAGATGACCACGACCCTGGGCCTGTATATCCTTCCCTCCAGACTTTGTGCCCCTATGTGTAAATAGGACCTTGCTGTACTCATTCCTTACTAAGAAGTCCTGACAGAGAATGTGCAGCTTGCTGGGGGGAGTGGTTGGGGAGACGGTTTATGGCTTTGTCACCCTCAGGCCTTGGCTTTCCCAGACAGCTTAGCTTCCTGATCTGAAAGCAACATTCCAGTAGGCCAACCCTTCCATACTAGGTCTGGAGAGGTCACCGGAGTAGATTCCACGGAATGAGTGGCAGTGGTCTTCTGCCAAGGGAGCCAGTCTCAGGGGAGGTGCTGGGAGGGCAGTAGTGCTGGCCCAGCCACAGCTCTGCAACTCAGCCTCCTTTGACAGGCATGGCTCTTTCGGTGTTGGTGGTCCTGCTCCTTGCTGTGTTATATGAAGGCATCAAGGTTGGCAAAGCCAAGCTGCTCCAGCAGGTGCTGGTGAGCCTGCCCATCTCTATCAGCCAGCAGGTCATCACGGAGACAGAATGGGATGCTGCAGGCTCCGAGTCTCCCCCCATCAGCAGAACCCACCACAGGTACAGGCTCTGGGTGGGGGGAATGGGCAGAATACTCATGTCCATCTTGAGAGATAGTCTGGGTCCAGAGAGCCTAAGACCCACTTCACAGAAAGGAAGTTGAGCCCCAGGGAAGGACCAGGACTTGCCAAAGTCATTACAGTTAATAAAGTAAATTAGAGCTCAAGTCTCCTGATGCCCAGGCAAAAGTTGTATGACCAGCCACCTGGGAGGCTAAGAAGGCTTTCTTTAGGGAACCGCAATCTTCAGAACCCTGGTGCAGGCTTCTGGGAGGGCCACTCAACCTCCCCCAAATCTCAACAGGTTCCTTAGGTCACTAGGCTTCCAAACCCAGGAGGGAATCTGCAGCTGTCCTGAAGCAAGTGATAGAAAGTGCTGTTAGCAGTGTATCCTGCTGGGTGAGGGCAGGCAGCTCTTCTCCATTCCTCTTCTCCCTTCCCTCTGATCAGGTGGATGTTTAGGGTCCCTGTTCTGCCCTCTTTTCAGCCCCAGCCTCAGTCCCGCTTAATGAAGCTGCCTGCTACATCACCAGCCACCTTGCATACCTTCACAATCACCCTGCAAGGGAGGTATTCTTATTCCTGTTTCACTAATAAGGAAACTTAAGTTCAGAAGAGGGTAAGACATTTGTGCGAGGCCACATTTAATAAGTGGCTGAGGAATAGGAATTGATATGTCACTGAAGTCTATGTTCCTTCCATTATCCTCCCACAGTGGATTCAGGGGGAAAAGCCTGCCTTACTGATGGCGATTTTCTTGTATCCCTTATCAGACAAGATAGCTAACATACCCCATCATTTTCCCTTTCACTTAGGATCCTGGGAAGCTCAGAACTAAAAGTGATGGAGATATGTCCCTTTAAAAAGCTCTCCTGGGTTAAACATATGAGTTAGAATCAGCTGGTCCTGTAATTCAGTGGCTTTCCACTTCCCTGGTACCAGCTCCCAACTTCCAGCTCATTACCAGCATTAACTTGGTTTTCTTTTTCATCTAGATGGTATTTGTGTCACATTGGGCAGTCTCTAATCCACGTCATCCAAGTGGTCATCGGCTACTTCATAATGCTGGCTGTCATGTCCTACAACACCTGGATTTTCTTTGGTGTGGTCCTGGGCTCTGCTATGGGCTACTACCTAGCATACCCGCTTCTCAGGATGGTTTAGCTGGTGAGGGATCTGCAGGCACCAAGGCTGGGACTCCTTGTTCCAGACATTGTACTTCCAGCTGCTTTTTCTTCTGATGTCTGTTTCTTACCTTGTTCCTAGCCCCTGGAAACTCTGGGCTGAAGCCTGCAGCACTTGCTTCCTGGAGTCCAGAGACCATTGCGTGACCTCACCCCTCAACAGATCTGCACAAGGCCCAGGCCCAGTTTTGTGCCTTAAGAAGGCTGCTATGACCAAAAGGGAGAATGGAGGGGGACCAAAACCAGGGGACAGGGTTGCTGAGCCCATGACAACATCTCTCAAAACTTGAGAATTTCCAAAGATCTTCAAGATAGGGAGATGGATTCTGAGTGATGAAGGGCATGGAACCTAGACATCCCCTAACTCTCCTGCTTTGTGCCTTATCTATAGGAGCAACTTCCATTGGACTTCCTGACCTTTTCTGTCTTTGTGGGGACAGAAACTGAGTTAGCTCCTTTTTCTCACCTTTCTGCCTTTGGAATACATGAAGATGGTCTTTTTTATGGATCATGTTAACAAACTAAGACTTAAAAAATTTTTCCCATTGAATTTCTGGTTGGCAATTTTGCACACTGATATAAACAAAATTTTTAATGAAATGATTTAGTTTTATTAGTTTCCTGTGAAAGGGAAGAATAAGTGACAGCTCGTTAAAGGCAGAGACACTGGACTATTATCCTGACTCTTGGCTTATCTTCTGGTTAGACAGCGCTTCCCAGCAGACAGCACTGCCAGAGGGGAGGAAGGTCATAGCCTTGGGTGTCTGGGAAGTTCTTCAGGGCCTCAGTGCTTTCTCTTACCATGATCTTTCATTGCAGAACAGAAAACTGCATTTTAAAATATTCAAACTTGGGTGGCACCTGTCGCTCAGTGAGTAGCGCACCGGCCCCATATACCAAGGGTGGCAGGTTCAAACCAGGCCCCTGCCAAAGTGCAACAAAAAGTAGCTAGGCGTTGTGGCAGGCGCCTGTAGTCCCAGCTACTTGGGAGACTGAGGCAAGAGAATCACTTAAACCCAGCAGTTGGAGGTTGCTGTGAGCTGTGATGCCACGGCACTATACCAAGGGCAATAAAGTGAGACTCTTGTCTCTAAAAAAAAAAAAAATTAAAATATTCAAACTTCATGTTCTCTATTTATTACTTACTATTTACTCATAATGATCTGGTGGGGAAACATTCATTCACTTAAAATACTGATTAAGCCATGGTGGGATACTGACTGAAGATGCAGTAGGCAGCCCAACCAAAGCTATCACATTTTTAGAGTTAGATGGGAATGCTCCTGGGTATCTAGACCTCTTCACTTTACAAAAAAGGAAACAGAGACCCAGGGAGAGAAAATCATTGCTGTATACTGTAATAATATGCTCAGGTACCTCATGGGCTAGATGAAAAAACAGTTATAAACTTTGGGAATTAAAAACAAATACAGTTTAATAAATATATATTTTTAAAGTCTATGAGTGTTCTTCTGTTTCTTGTCATTCCAACAACAAGCACATGAACACATGTAACCACTGCAGGCCAAGTGGAGAACAGGGGGCTGGCAGTGCTCTTTACAAGGCTGTCTGAGGAAGGAGTCTATCCATCTGCTATGAAGGCCACTCTGCTCAGGGAAATCCAGCCCTGAAACGCTGGACCCACGGTACACACTTCAGATTGGTCATCCTTTTGTTCATGTCATAAGCATTAATTGGGTGCCTACTGTTAAGCAAAGTAACACTCATAGAGACTATAAATACCTCTGCTGGCACTATTATTAGTACTCTCTCTCCCTGAGGGCAGAAGCAAAAATACCATAACCACTTTTTTTTTTTGAGACAGAGTCTCATGATGTCACCCTCAGTAGAGTGCCATGGTGACACAGCTCACAGCAACCTCAAACTCTTGGGCTTAAGCGATTTTCTTGCCTCAATCTCCCAAGTAGCTAGGACTATAGGCATCTGCCACAACACCTGGCTATTTTTTTTGTTGCAGTTGTTTGGCTGGTCTGGGCCAGGTTTTAACCCGCTAGCCTCGGTGTATGTGGCTGGCACCTTAACCACTCTGCTTATGGGCACCAAGCCTCATAACCGCTTTTTAATTTATAATAAGAAATAACTCACACAAAGTAGAGTATATGACCCCTTTAGGATTGATCAATGCATTTCCCCCTTGTTTCAAGGGAATTGGAAAGCTTCCCAGTGCCTAAATACATATAAGATTTCTAACATCCAATATAGTCTTGCTGACAGAGATAGATTATTGGAAGTTCTAAGTCCTGACAAGCTAAGGGTCCTTCCCGAAGGGCACTGCTGAGATGGCATCTCTAAGGATGATTAGGAAACTCCTCAGTTTGATACAGTCTTTTTAAGTGTAATATATCTGTGGCTTTTATAGAGAGCTTTAAAAAGTTTTAAGAATCTATGCTTCAGAGACAGGGATTATAAGGTTAGACCTAATAAGCAATCCATTGCTCTCATTTCAACATTTTTCAGAGCCCAGTCACAAAAGCTATCCTCTACATTTTTTGGAGACAGTGTCTTTCTCTGTTGCCCCTGGGTAGAGTGCTGTGGAGTCACATTCAAACTCCTAGGTTCAAGCAATCCTCTTGCCTCAACCTCCAGAGTAGCTAGGGTTACAGGCATACACTACCATACCCGGTTAGTTATTTTCTATTATTTAATTTATTTATTAAGACTAATTTTTTTTTAAGAGATAAGAGTCTCACTCTATCATCCTCGGTAGAGTGCTGTCGTGTCACAGCTCACAGCAACCTCCAACTCCTGGACTTAGGCAATTCTCTTGCCTTAGCCTCCCAAGTAGCTAGGACTACAGGCGCATGCCACAACACCCAGCTTTTTGTTGCAGTTTGGCTGGAGCTGGGTTTGAACCTGCCACCCTAAGTATATGGGGCTGGCGCCCTCCTCACTGAGCCATAGGCGCGGCCCAACTAGTCATTATTTAGTAGAAATGGGGGTCTCTTGCTCAGGCCAGACTTGAACTCTGGAGCTCAAGAAATCACCCTCCTCAGCCTCCCAGAGTTTAAGGATTACAGGCATAAGCCACTGTGCCTGGCCCTTAATTTTTTTGTAATTTAATGAACATTACCTATATACTGTTTATTAAGTGTCAAGTAGTGTTCCTCAGTGTTCTAAATACTTCACAAATATTAACTCACTTAATCCTCATGAAAAGGTAGAAACTAATTTGGATCTCATCTTAGAGATGAGAAACTCTGGCACATAGAAGTTAAAGTCGGCCCAGCGCCTGTGGCTCAAGCAGCTAAGGCGCCAGCCACATACACCTAAGGTGGCAGGTTCG